TCTAAAAATCACATCAAGGAGCGGCTGGTTTGCTCAGGTGGTTAGAGTGCAGGCTCATAACACCAAGGTTGCCGGTTCGATTCCCACATGGGCCAAGGAGCTGCACCCTCCACAACTAGATTGAAGACAACTACTTGACTTGGAGTTGATGGGTCCTGGGAAAAATATACTGTTCCCCAGTAAAGTTTAAAAAAAAGAAAAGAAAAGTCTGATCATCCCAGAAAACACCCATTCTTCAAAACCATCAACTTTCCTTGCCTGGAAGCTGGCCTAGTTGAACACCCTGATGTGCCACGCCCTTCAGTGGTTTATGCCCAAGACATCGATGAAACTGAAGATTTCGCTGAGGTTCAGGGAGTCGAATTTGATGATAAAGATAAGAAGTTCTTCCAAAGATTTATATCAGTTGCTGTCCCCATAGCATGGCAGGAAGAGAATATAGAAACAAGACTTTTTGAAGAATTGAATGACCCCAACAGGCCTGCAGGTTGTGGGGAGGGCAATTCATCCAAGTCTGGTGTGTGTTTGTTGTTATAAGTTGTTCTCTCTACCAGATGAGCAGCAGGAGTGTCAGCTGACTGAATCCTCGAATGTTCCTGTTAACCTAAAAATAAAAAGGCCTTTCAAAGTGAGAGGCAACAAGCATGTATTGAGATCAATAAGAACACCTATTGGGGATGCACTGATTCAGGCAGAAGCCCAAATAATGTTCCAATTCGCAGACAAGGGCAATGGGTATTTATGAGAAAGGGGAGGGGAACTATTACATCAACAGAAGGAAGGCATTTCTATGGGTGCAGATAATGCAACATAATGATGTTAATTCTAAGTAATGGTTTTAATATTCAGTCCAGTCGTCATAATAACTGTTTTTCTTGTTACCTTTGCAAATAGTTTTTCTGGGACATAATGTTGCCCTAGGCCCAATCAAAAAGTTATTTTGCCCTGTTTTAACTTTCTGAAGGTTTGAGGCCTAAGACGTGTAAGGCAGTTCCTTTGGCATGGCAGCTCTGGCTCTATTTTAAAGTGGCTCCATTTTTATTGTTGTTTACATTCCTAATACATGAAAATCTGTTAAAGAGAGGCCTGATCAATCAGGAGGGACGTTTCAACCATAAAATAGTTCAAAGGACAAGCGAGCTCACCACTAGGACACATTTTCCCTTTTCATCCTCCCTCCCTCCCTCCCTCCCTCCCTCCCTTCCTTCCTTCCTTCCTTCCTTCCTTCCNCATGACAACCCACTGCCACAGGGGCTGCAGCCTACGCCATCCCCGGCGACTCGACAGCCCAGCTCCAGGTCGAGCTGTTGTTCAGCATCTTAGCTGTGGAGGGCAGTGTCACTGGTCCTCGTATGTGGGATCCGAACCGGGGCCCTCTGGCGTCCCAAGCCAGCTCTTAACCAATGTGCTACTCGGCCGGCCGGAAAAGGGCATTGTTATTGTAAAATTTCCCAGTGCTGAGAGAGGCTGCTAACCTCATCATTATATCAAGAGTTTATTCAGGGAACTTACATATGAGGCATGTTTTAGGGGACAGCAAGACAATGTGGATATCTTCCCTACCCCGTGGCAGGTGATAAGGAGTTAACAGAGGGTAGGGTAGGATGGATAGGGGTCCTGGGGCATGACACATCCCTGAAGGGAAAATGCCTTACATGCTTGCCTGGGGCTGGGCAACAGCCTGTCCAAGGAACCAGCACTTCTGGCATAGGGTAGGGTCCATCAGACAATCTCTGAGGGGATTTGGGGAAGCAACCTCTGTGCTGCTCAGGATCTAGCTGGCAGGTCTGGCAGCAGTCAGGCCGTGGTCACATCATGGAATAGTCTCTCTTCCTCAAGCATAAGGCATGGGCCTTGCCTTCCAGAGGCATCTAGTTGGAGGTGTTGAGGAACATAAAGAAAACCTCAGAGTGGTCCATTGTTCCCTTGTCTTTTGCAACTTGTTGCAAAAGGGTTGCAGTTGGCCATCCCTGATGGATGAGCCCAGGCCACCTGGGCCTGGCTGCTGGCAGTGTTACTTTAGAGCTGTTCATCCTGATGTGAAGACTGGTTTGGCAAGTTTCCTGAGGTTGCTGAGCCCCTGGGCGTTCTCCGGTTATGAACGTTAAAGCTGCTCAAAGTGAGTTTAAAGTGCCCTCTTGACCTTGGGACAGTGTGTACATGCCTGCCAGCAGCCACCAAGGTGATACAAACTCCTTCTTATGACACCTGGTCCCACTCCAACTCTTTTGTTCTCTTTGAGGCACACAGGCCTGGGGTTCATTCCTGATCTACGTGAATGGAATTCTAGCTCTATCCTTGTTCTGCCACATTTAAAATCTGATACCCACCTTCCAAATCTATCTGATACCTCAAAATGGTGAACGTTGCTGTGTAAATTATACCTCAATAAACCTAACTTTTTCTCTTAAATGTACACTTGAAGCTTCAGTGTATCTCAGTAACCCTCCCTCAAAGCTCTTACTCTATAGGATATAAACCACACAGACATACGTCAGTAGGTTCTAACAGATGGCAAGCCTGCATTTTCCTTTCTTGGTGGCTTTCGAAAGGAAAGAAATACCTTGTAGGTATCTCAGGATGTAGCTTTCCATACCTGTCTTTTCAGTTGGGTCATAAATGGGAAAAGTCCAAGGAGTCCTGGATGGCTTTTCTGGATGGGTGTAGGCTGGAATCACAGAACAACCCAGGGAATGGCTGGACGTCAGATGCCTCCAACTGAGTTTCTCTTTTTCATAATAATATTTGATTACAATTTTGTCTTTGAAAAATTTACCTATATATTTTTGCTTTCTCTGATGCACAGCTAATTATGAATGCAGAAACAGGTAAAAAGGTTAATAGATGTTTAAAAATTACAGTTAAAAAACAGACGGGGTTATTGTGATGGTAAAATGTGATAATGTAAGTGAAGAGCTTAACGTATTAACTGAGACTAGGCTAAAAATAAATGTTAATCTCAATAGTGTTGTTAGTAATGTCATTATTATGTTTAGATTCTAGTCATCTTACTGGACAGAGTACGCTGCAGTAGTCGTGTGATGTGGTGAGGAGTCTTTGAAGTGGGTGTATGGAGAAAGTACTCAATCCTTTTCTGAAAAGCTGTTTTGATAACTGGAATGGAAATTTTAAAAGGAAAGACCATGAATGTGATTGATTTTTGTTAAGGTTGATTTATGATAGAAAATGACTTCTTCCAAAAGGAAGACATTTCTTAGACCAGCATATCTATTCACATAAAAGGAAAAGCAAAATTTGAATCTGATGCCACAAAACAGCCCCCTTTTTACTTCTTTAAAATGTAGACTTAAGGGCTGGCCGAGTGGTTCAGTTGGTTAAGAGTTGGCTTAAGAGCGCGAGCTCTGAGCAACAGCGCTGCCGGTTCGATTCCCACATGGGCCAGTGACGCTGTGCCTGAGCTGAGCTGTCGCTGAG